TACCAGGCATCCCCCCTCTCCCCCTTCCACACAAGCACGCACACACGCACAAACGCACACACACACACACACACACACCACGCCTCCCAGGCGGCCTGGGTTCGCTGCGTAGCAAGTGCATCCAGGGCGTGCCTGGCGGCCTGGCGGCCTGGCCTGGCCTGGCCCGCCTCGCCGCCTCGCGTCGCCGGGCGCGAAAATGACCGGGCCTGCACGGCGCGGCTCCAGATGCATCCAGATGCAGCGAGGGCCATGAAAAGCCCCCCGGTTCCAGGGACGCCATGCAGCGTCAGGCTGCCGCACTGCCACAGGCTCACTGCCACAGGCTCACTGCCACAGGCTCACTGCCACAGGCTCACTGCCACAGGCTCACTGCCACAGGCTGCCACACTGCCACAGGCTGCCACACTGCCGCAGGCTGCCACACTGCCACAGGCTGCCACACTGCCACAGGCACACTGTCACAGGCTGCCACACTGCCACAGGCTGCCGCACTGCCACAGGCTGCCACACTGCCGCAGGCTGCCACACTGCCACAGGCTGCCACACTGCCACAGGCCGCCACACTATGCCACAGGCTGCCACAGGCCCCAGCCGTTATGGCGGGAGCCAATGCCAAGAATGGCGGCGGAATGCAAGTGGCGACGGCGGAGACACGGGCGGGGGGCAGGGCCAGGCGAGGATAGAACGATAGAGCAGCAGATGAACGATAAATTCCCACATTCAGTTCTGCGCAGTTAACCTCCAGGCGCGCGGCCTCCGGATTAAGGCTCTTCGTGTCATCGTCGGAAGGCCGGCGTGCCGATCCGTGTCCCGCCGTGCCCTTCCAGGCCTCCTCCCAGGTCCGGAGCCGAACCTCGGTCCGGCCGGCAGCAGCACGCACCCCAACTGTTGAACGCGCTTCTCTTGACCCGCACCGGTAAAACTGAAGCGTAGTTGTATGCTTGATTCAAGCATACAACTACGCTTGAAGACTTTACGCTTGACGTCAAGCGTAGAGAAGAAGTTCTCCCATGCATTTAGATAGGCGGGAGAGGGGCAAAATGGAGAACTATGCTTGAAGCCGAGCGTAGTTCTACTACGCTTGAAAAAAGGCGTAAAACTACGCTTGAGTTCTACCAGTGCGGGTGCTTTCCGAAGACACCGCCACTGTGTTTCGCTGCGACCCTCGGCAACAAAAGCTCCCCGGTCGGCAAGAGGACGTGCAAACGCACTCGCCGGGGCCGGGGAGGCGAAGGGCAACGCTACATTACAAGTTCGTGGCTCCCGTGTAAAACCAGGCATCACAACACATAACGAACCCTAAGTGACATGCCTCGAGGTGTGCCGCCCTGGCGGGCGGGGCCACGGCGGGGCGGGGCGGGGCGGGGCGGGGCGGGGCGCGGCCAGGAGCTCCAGGACGGCCGCGGCCGAGACGGCCAAGACGGCCGGGAAGCCGCAACGCCTTTATGACGATCTCAATGACGGCGGGGAAGGCGCGGCAGGCGCGGCAGGCGGAGTGAGAAGTGCGTGGCGAGAGCGTAATTGGTCTCAATAGGCCAGTGGGGCCACAGGCGGACAGGCGGGCAGACAGGCAGACAGGCAGACAGGCAGGCAGGCGGGCGGGCGGACAGACACGCACAGACAGAGACGGAATAACGATAATAATTAATCGGCGCTGGCGCGCCAGTCGTCTGTCTCTGTTTTCCCCAGCGCCCAGAGCGAGGAGCGAGCACAGCGACACAAAGGCGCGTCGTGCCGCGTCGTGCCGCGTCGTGCCGCGTTGTGTCACGCGGCCCCTTTCTCCGAAGCGTGCCGACATGCAAACGGGGCGACAATTGGAGGTGAAGGCCAAGGTGGCCAACCTGACCCCACTCAACGCGGCGAACGCGGTGCGCGGCCCACAATGCGTGCGGCGGCCGGACGGGCAGACGGACAGGCAGACGGACAGGCAGACGGACAGGCGGACGGACAGGCAGACGGACAGGCAGACGGACAGGCAGACGGACAGGCAGACGGACAGGCAGACAGACCGAGGCGACAATGCGCAATGCACTGCCCGCCCCGCGCCGCGCCGCCGCGTCGCAGGGCTGAGCGCCTGCAGCATAGGCCACACCCCGCCCTGCGCACACGTCTGCTCGACGGCGCGGCCTACCTCCCAGGCGCTCCATTGCCATTACCACTACGGGCTAGGCCACACACGATCGTATGCCGTTCCAGGCGCTCCGCTCCGCTCTGCTCCGCCCTTGTGTGCGGCGCGCGACTCCCCCGGCGGCGCTGCAGGCCGAGTCCGGGCAGTGCGTCCCGTCGGCCTGCCCTCGCACCCCACCAGGCACCCTCTGCCACTCGGCAGCAGCCTTGTTGGCGGCAGTGGCGGTCCGGGACTCGGTGACGGGGTGACACGCCACACTCTCTGAATGTCAAGTCCACCGGCGCGGCGTCCGTGCACGTCCGTGTGAGCCGCCGTGCACACGTCACATGTGTGTGTGTGTGAGTGTGTGTGTGAGTGTGTGCGCGCACACACGCGCCACCATGCGAGTCACATTCCGACACTAAAAGTTCCTCCGGCAAATGGATACAATCCGCGTAAATGTGCTGCATTATGTATCGGCAGCAAGTGGCGGCAGCAAGTGGCGGCGCCCGGCCGCGAGTCGCAATGACCGTCGAAGGCGCGTGGCTCCTCGCGCGGCTGCGACAGTGGGCGTGGAATCTCCCTCTGCTCGTCTGCTGGCCAGCAGAGACGCGCTTTTCGAGCACCGCGGCCGCCGTGTCCGTGCCTCGGACGTGTCCGTGGCGGTCCTTGGCGGGTTGTGTGAGCAGTGCTGCCGCCGCCGCACAGAGGGCCAGACGACCGCTGGAGGCGGCCAAAGTTCCAGACGCGTTTTGAGCTCCAGAGTCGCTAAATGGGACTCGAACCGAATGTGTGACCTCACCAATGGATTGCTCTCCGAACGAGGAATCCATTGGTGGGGTCACATGTGCGTTTCGTCGTGGTTCGGGCTGACTTCAGGCACTTCAGGCGGTGCGTCCAATCTTCCGACCCGAGCCGGGGAATCGCGCGAGGCGCGTCGAGTTGCATTGTTGCAGCGGCAGTCGCTGCTCATACTGGTTTTCAATCCGAACCTTCGGCCGACGCAAATTTGAAACACGCGCCGCGCCGCCGCCGCCGCGCCTCGGCGGGAGAACGGAAACGCAGTGATGATTCGCGCGTGGCGTGCGTCCTTGTAAAGTAAACAACAACAACAAGCGCATCAACGACATGAGCAACAAAGGCAATTTAATTACGCCTGGGTGACGGTTCCCACGTCGCTATCGCCGCACTCGCCGCGCTGTGTGCCACTGTGCCGGACTGTGCGTATACGCATGCCTGGTGATGCGAAGAGCGTGAAAACGAACCACGGCGAAAATAAACAACGAAGCGCCAAAGTTTCCAAAGATTAAAATACCACCGATGAAATGGAAGAAGAATAGTAATGTTGGAAAGTTTTCGTTGGCGTCAGCGTCCGTCCTCTCTTTGCCCTCCTATCGTAGCACGAGAGTTTGACGGAGTAGGCCGCAGAGGATGATGAGGCCAATAAAAACTCTTCAACATTGTTATTTTGTTCCGTTTTGTTGGTGGGTTGTAAGACTGTTTCGCGAGCTGACATTTCAATTTCTCCAACTCAAGGACGATTTTTTATTCGATATGACTCACAAATTTGTAAGAGCTACGGAAGCTTTCATTATGTATTGTTCCTCTAAATTCTTTACAAGCCCTCTCTCTGCCTCTCTGACACCCAGAACGAGGGATGAGAATGCACCATCATGCAAACCTTATGTATTTGGAAGATTCACAGGGGCAGGGCAGGGGCAAGGAGAAGATTGACCCACTCGATGTAACATTCTCTGCGAATCTCTTTCCTTTTCAAAGCCGAAACGACGCGCAAATTTTTGTCGCTGTTGTTTGCCGCGTCCGCTGCGTTGTGGGCACGACTCTCGACCTCCAGCCTCGAAACTCGAAAGCCTCGAAAGGCGCCTAGCCTCCAAACTTTGGCCTAGAGAGGATAGAGCGGCTGGAGAGGCTAGAGTGGCTAGAGAAGCTAGAGAGGCTAGAGTAGCTAGAGAAGCTAGAGAGGTTAGAACGGCTAGAGAGGCGCACTGCCCCACACCGGCGGCAGCGTCGCGGCGCCTTCTGCAAATATTTGCTCCTCATCCTCCGCGCTCCGCCCTCTCCGCCATTCATAAAGAGTCTTCTCCCCTTTTTCCGCGGTTCGAACACACCGCGCTCTCCGAGCACCACGCCGAGCACCTCGCCGAGTGCACCTCACCGCCCGTTTGGCAATGTGTGTGAGTGTGTGTGTATCTGGCTGGTTCATTCGGCCTTTGCGGCCCCCGGGCCCGCGGCCTGTAGTCGGAATCCGAACAGCGCTCCGTCGCCCTTCCTCTCTCGCAACGCAGAGGGACGCCTCTCGAGTGCGAGGGAGACGGAGCAGCGAACGAACTGTTTGGAGGCGGCCTCATGCTGGCCCGCGGCCCGCCCGCCCGCGGCCTGCCGCCCCGATCGCGACTCAATTAGCGAAGGCAACAAAAGGCCGCGGCACGTAACGAGCCAGCGGACGGACGGACGGACGGACGGACAGGCGGACGGACGCGCCGACAGACAGAAAAAAACGCCGAATGCTCGTCCCACTTCCCACTGACTTACTGGCTTGTTCTCAGGGCCTGGCCAAGATGAGGCACTCTCTCCACTGCAGGTGACGGTATCGGCCGCCACTGCACCAAGGCGACGATGACGGCAGCCCCCTGACCTACCCCACCGCACAAGGAGCGGCCCCAGGTCTCTCCCTCGCGCTCACGGGGCGCTCCGTACCGGTGCGAGAAAGATACCCGCACTGTGCGGAGGCCTAACAGCGCTGATGATGACGATTTTTATTAGTATGATGATTATGATGACGGTTGTGGTGGTGATGATGATGATGATGATGATGATGATGATGACTTAAAGTCGCGGACAGCAGCCAGTGCGTCAGTGCACTTCCACTCACCTTCATAATCATGTAGTCCAGCCAGGGGACAGAGGACAGGATCACACCGACCAGCAGTGTGAACAGTCCGAGCGAGATGGTGCACAGGCGACCTGCAGGGCAGAGAAGGACAACCAATCAGAGCGGGTAAACAAGGATCGAATAAGGAACTAGTCGACATTAGACGCGACTGGTAAACTCTTTGCGATAAAAGGACGTTTTGTGTTTTTTACATAATTCGAGAACCCCTGATTTTCTGGTTTCGCTAGCCTAGCGTAACGAGGAAAAGACGAAAAATGAAAGGTAAACGTGAATCTCCGGAAATGAAAACATGAACCGCGAGTGACAGACAGGCCGCGTTTATTTTTTCTTCTCTATTTCGAGAATCGGCTCGCGGGCATGCACCACCGCGGTGACGGCTTACGTAAGGCTAATCTGCCCGTCTAGACGCGTCTCGAGGGCTGTCCGGGGCCCGTCTTCGCGGTGCCCCCAGCCTGCCCCCAGCCTGCCCCCAGCCAGCCTGCCCCCAGCGGCCTCTGCCTCTCTCGCACTCGAGGAGCGTGGAGCGTTGCGTACTGCTGAGAGAGAGAGAGAGACAGTGCCACGAAGCGCTGCAGTGTCTGCAGTGTGTCTACAGATGCAATCAGGCGCCGTCATGCACCCTGTCTCGAAGTCCCGAACCGAGTCTCAGACCGCCGAGCAAAACAAGCCGCCTTTTGGATGGATTTCAACGTTGTTTCCTTGTCACGCTGATACCTCACGCAGGTCACATGGACTAGGCGGGCGGACGCACGGTCCACTGGGAGCACGCGCGCGCGCACACACACACACACATACACACACACGCCGACACTCGTAGGGGCGCGCGTGTGGCTTGGCGCCAATAAATTCAGTTTGCCGTCGGCATGCCGTCGGCACGTTTCTTCGCTTCCTGCAGAGCAATGTGAAAACCTCTGCGAGGAAACTTACCTTACAGCGCACACACACACAGACACACACACACACGCTCACACCAGGGCAAAACGCGCAGCGTAACAAGGTGGGGCTAACACGGCCAGTGGCGACAAGGAGATTCAGGAAACATTCTTATGAGATTGTATACGCCGCGCGTACTGTGGGTGGAGGGGGTGGGGGAGCGAACCGGGAACGGTTCATTTCGCCAGTCCGGCAGGCCGGCAGGCTCGCCTGGCTAGATTAACGACAACACGCTCACGCCGCCGCGCGCCGCCGCGACTAGAGACCAGCGAGTAGTGGTCCCATCAGGAACGAACAAAAGCGGCTGCTTCTCGTTCACCTTCATGACGCCAGGGCGTGCCTGCCAGGTTCCCGCAGAGATGGGCCTTTCCCCGGCGTGGGGTGCGGCCGGCGGCGCGGGGCGCGGGTTCGCGTCCCACCGGCCCGCGTTCGCGTTCACGTTCGCGTTCGCCTTGTATCGGTGTTTTCGTGTTTCGGTGCCGGGGTTATGAGAGAGCCCGGCGCCCGCCCACGCATGCTCCAGATCTGGACCGGGTTTGGTCCCACCGGAATAACCAGTTCCCCATCGGTGTGCTGGCCGTCCTCCCTTCCTGGGGAAGGATTGCCAAATCGCCCCGGCCGGCGTGTTCGGCGTGTTCACTCTGCGCGCGTCACGGCCTCCGCGGCCAGACACGCTTGCAGGCCAGACGCGCCGCCCCGCCGCTCCGCCGCCGTCGTGCACTGCGTCACTGCGTCGCTGCGTCGCAGAGCAGGGCCACTCGCCGGGTGGCCTATGCGGGCGCTGGTGGGCGCTGCGCTGGCTCCGCAACCCGGCCGGCGTAGCCCGGTGCGGGCGCGGGGTCAGGTCCGTCAGTGCCTCGCCACCGCGGCCACTGGCAGCCCGACGAGGACGGGGAGCGGCCACTGCAGCAGCCTCCACGCCGCACCCAACAGGTGGCCCGGCCTAGCCGGCCTAACCTTCCCCAACGCGCATCCGGTTCGGATATGGCCGCGGCCTTCGGTGCCTTCGGGGCCTTCAGTGCCTTCGAGGCCTTCGGGTGGAGGCATCTGATGAGCCACACCTAGATCGACAGCCCCCTCCCTGGCACTGCCACTGCCCTGACCGGGCCGATCGGACCGATCGCGATCTGCGCAGGCGATACGGAAACCAGGTGCTGCTCGCTGAATGCGTTTCTGGCCCGCGTGCCGCTCGGCTCCGAACGAGTGCTTTCGTCGCTCTGTCTCTCTCACGCGCGTGGGGCCGGGCGGCGCCCCGTTGAGGTGCGAGAGAGACTGCACAGCGACGGAGCAACGAAAGCACGGCAGGAGGCGGGGCCGGGCGGGGCCGCGGGGCGCCCCGGGTGCCACAGTGCCTCGGCGGCGTAACACCTGCCCGAGGCGCTCGCCGTGATCGTGCCCTTCACCTAGGAGCCGCGGAGCCGCGGAGCAGTGCGCACATTGCGCAACTTTCTCACGAGTCACGGACTCGGAGGATGGCTTGGCGCTCGTCTGTCGCCTGCTGTCGCGCGCTTCGGGGGCGGCGACTGCGTGCGTGCGTGCGTGCGTGCGTGCGTGCGTGCGTGCGTGCGGCAGCGGAACCGTTCAGTCGCTCTGTCTCTGTCGCACCCTTATGGAGATCCCCATGAGTGCGACGGAGACGGAGGAGGCAAAACGACTCTTCTGAACCGCGCGGCAGAGCACCGCGGCGTGGGCAGGACGAGGAAGAGCCCGTTTAACCACGTACTCGTCGCGTACCGCGTACCGGGTGTTTCAGGCACGACGGCACGGCGGCACGACACTGTTGCAGGGACAAGATGAGCGACCTGCCGGCGCGCGCGGCCTTTCCTGCGCTTGCGACTTTGCGATTAAAGAGCCCGCGGAGTGCCCGCTACACTGTAGACTGAGCGGGAGGTCTCTCTCGCACTAAAGGGACGCTCCGTGCCTGTGCGAGAGAGATAGACCGACGGCCACACTGTGCGGAATCAGTCTACTGGGAGCAGGCTCGGACTGGCCCCCAAAAGGCCCCAGCGGATAAGACCGCAAAAGGCCCCCCTCGAGGCCCCCGATCATCATTGTTTTTACCCTGCATGACCAACTTTGTGAGGCTACCGCTCCCAAACTAGTTGTGGTCAATAGCTTTCCCGATACAGGGCATGAAAGAGTAGGGTCTTAAGAATACTAGGGTGTCGAGGGAAGCCTTTTACGGCAACTACATTGGACACAGTGGCCACCCAAAGTCAGCAAAATCAGCAAATTTCCGAGATGCGACCACTTTTTGACCAACTTGGTCGGAAAATCGTTGCGGTCAAAGCCAAAATCGTTGTGGTCAACGTCTTCCCGATACAGGGCCTGAAAGAGTAGGGTCTTAAGAATACTAGATCGTCGAGGTAGGCCGTTGGCCGCAACTAGATCGGATGCAGTGGCCGCCCAAAATCAGCGAAAACGGCTACTTTCGGAGATTCAGTCACTCTTTGACCAACTTTGTGACGTTACTGGTCCCAAACCCGGAGGCTCCGGCAGATTTTTCTGCCTGTCTGCCCTGGCCAGCCCGAGCCTGACTGGGAGCGCTCAGGGCGACCGGGCGACGACCGTCTCCACGTGTCCGGCTGCCGGTGCCACGGTGTCACAGAAGACTGTGAGCCTCGTTTCGTTTCGTTTCGTCCCCTGTAATTTGCAAAGTGTCGCGCCGAATTCGCCGGAGAGCTGTGATTACAAGCGCGGTCCTCGGTCCGGGAGGTGACCGGCCCGCCGCGCGCGTGCCCCGCGCCGTGCACTATTTCGTCGGTGGTCACCAGCGCCTTCCGACAACCTAGGCGGAAAAGAACTGCCTGGCGTTTGCGTCATTTCGGAAAATGTTTGCCTTCCTTTATTGAACTCTACATGACGCGGCGGCGCGCGGCGCGCTCGCTGACGTTCCGAAGTCCCTGCGTCCCGACGTCGGTTGTTGGCCGTCGGCTTCTAGGCGAGTCGCGCCCGGAAAGGAAGTGCCCGATGAGGGGTTGTGTTGACTGGCTGGCGCCTCCCCGCCAACCGCCATGTCATCGGGGCAACAAGTGCGCCACCTGCCGCGCGCTTCCGAACGGTCGCCGCGTCGCCCTGTCTCTCTCACACTCCAGCCGGACGCGCCGTGAGTGCGCCGAAGACAGAGCGACCAGGCGACTCTTCGGACGCGGCCTACCGCTCCACGACGGCTGCGCAGCGCGGCGCGGCGCTAGTTCTCGTGAAATGGGTCGGAAAATATTGGCACAGGGTCCTAGGCACGTTTGCCGTTCGCACGAAAGGAGACTCACTAAACACTCGCGAGGCGCGGAGCGCGGAGGCGGCGCCTGTTGCACTTCACATGGTTTATGCACATTCCTGCGCGCCTCGCCGCGTGCATCACATTGTGCATCACATTGTGCACCACATTGTGCATCACACTGTGCATCACACTGTGCACGCTCTGTAGCCCTAACGCACGCCGCGTCAACACGGCGCACTATCACTACAGAGCGTGATATTCATTCGCTCTTGTCACTCCCGGTCCTAAGCCGGGGCCTGGGCATGCGCCTCGGCCGGGGCCCCGCAGCACAGTATGCTCGAAGACCGCTGGAGGCGGCCAAAACTCTAGACGCGTTTTGAGCTCCGGGGTAGCGAAAAAGGACTCGAACCGAACGACGTGTGACTCCAACATTGGATTCCTAGTCGTTGTGAGAGCAATCCATTGGCGGGGTCACACGTTCAGTTGGAGTCCCATTTAGCGCCTCTGAAGCTCCAAAAGCCTGTAGAATTTTGGCCACCTTCGGCGGTCTTCTGGCCCACTGTGAGCAGTGGACCTCGTTGGTGACGAGGCGCAGCCGCCTCATTGGTTCGTTTCTTAATTTGTGAGAAGTTCTTAATGACCGACTAGTTGGCGAGGAGGTGACCCCGGTACGACGACTCCCTCCGCGGCAAGGATACGCTCGGGGAGGGGGAGGGGAGGGAGGGGGGGGAGGGGGAGGGAGGGGAGGGGGGGGAGGGGAGGGAGGGGAGGGGAGGGGGAGGTCAGCGAGCTGCTGGTCAGCGTGATCACACGCGGACACGCACGCTCACGCACGCACGGACGTCATACACAGACGTTCAAACACACATGCGCGAACGCACACACACAGACACACACACACGCAGACAAGACAGACTGACGCTCACGCACACGCGGGCTGACTGGCGTGTCTGAAACAGCCCCGAAACGAAACATGCCGGCTCACCGGATTCGGCGAGGCTGTAGGACCAACCTGCACTTTGGACCAGGCCTTGTGGTATGGAAGCGCCGCGCCACGCCACGCCTCGCCACGCCACGCCTCGCCACGCCTCGCTACGCCACGCCTCGCCACGCCACGCCTCGCCACGCCACGCCTCGCCACGCCACGCCTCGCCACGCCACGCCTCGCCACGCCTCGCCACGCCTCGCCACGCCACGCCTCGCCACGCCACGCCTCGCCACGCCTCGCTACGCCACGCTACGCCACCGCCCCGCAAGCGGTCCGTCCGTCGATCCGGGCGACGGTGAGGTCATGAACTCGACCGGCTCCCCCCAGCAGCGTACCAACGCCACGCACGAGTGGTACAATTTATGGCTTTCGATAACTTATGCGATTGTTGCTGACATTTGTTTTTCAAGACGCGAATCTCCCATCTCTCCCCCCTCGTACTGGACGCGCAGAGTTTGGGTGCGGGCCTTTCTCAAATTGCCCGTACCGCAGCTTGTCCGAGACTTGTTCCCCGGGGCGGTCCCGCTGCCCTGGCCTCAGCCTCGCCGCTTCGCCTCGCGGTGCACCCCATCGAGTCAGAGGCCGCCGGGCCGGGCCGGTGGCCGCGTGGCCGGCCGCCCGGTCGGGGCGCGACAACACACAGTAGTGCCTGCCGCCCATGCCGTCCACGAGGAAGCCGGCGGCCGGCCAGCGGGTCCTGATTTATTCTAATAGGCATCCAATCAGGACGCGAGGACGCGAGGGCGTGAGTCAGGCCGCTGTGTTAACCGTGCCACTTTTTTGGGGGTCCCTCTCCAAGGCCGCCGCCTGGCCGCGCGCTGCGCCGCGCCTGGCTGGCCCACTGCCTGGAGGCTGCCTGGAGCAGACGGCGGGCGCGCCGCACCAAGCGTCGGCCGCGTCGGCCACGCGTGTCTGTTTCGGAAGCGCGGCGTGTTCGCCTCTGAGCCGATTTGAGGCAGGTTAGATCACCTTTCGTGGAAAGTAAGGGAGCAGACACAAAACGGAGAGAAAAACGGCGCGCCGACCGTCGCAACAACGGAGTTGATAGACTCTGCTGGAAACGGGTTTCCACCTCTTTCGCCAGCCTTGGGAAGGCGCGATGCCGTTTCCGTGCCGGGCAGATGAGCCTACGCGCGACGCTATGGCGACGGCGACGGCGAAGGAGGGGATTGAACGAATGGACGTGTTTGTGAACAGGGAAGGGGGAGGGGAGGGGGATTGAACGAATAGACGTGTTTGTGAACGGCGTCGGCCGCGATCGAGTCCTCCTACCTAACCTTGGGCAACTTCGTGCCGCGGCATTTAAATAATTAAGTCTCCAGTGTACGCTAACGTGTTAGTGTGGGTCACGCCGACCGACGCCGACCCAGGGACGGCCCGCGGCCGCGAGGCTGTGACCTGCGCCAGCCTGTGCCAGCCAGTGCCTTATCGCCTCACTCGGTCGGGCCTTGGCCCGCCTTGGCCTCGAACGTCGCGGACGCGGAGAATGAAAACAAAGGTACTCACCGCAGCTGATCTTCTTCTGCTGGCTGACGAGCATGTTGAGCGGCGTGCCGCCCGCCGCCATGCCGAACAGCCCCCGCTGCGTCCGCTGCCCCCGCGGCGCGCCCCGCTGGCCGGCGCGGCTGGAGCCCCAGGCCCCGGCCAGCGCCCCCGTGAGCGCGCCCACCCCAGCCATGCGGCTCGCGCCCCGGAGGTAGTCCCCGTGGACCCCCATCGCGTGGACCACGTGGGCCGCCTGGCCACTACGCCCGGCAGGCCGGCCGGCTGGCCGCTGCGGGCCGCACTGCGGATGGTCAGGCCCTCGCGCCCCGCGCGCCCCGTGCGCCCCTCACGCCCCCGCCTCGTGCATGGTGCCTCGCAGCCCCCGGCGCGGCGCGCCCCGCGCGGCAGTCCTGCAACAGAAGAAAGAAAGGAAGATCGTCAGTACGGTGGCCAACAGTCGAGCCAACAGTTGATCACAGCATGGAGGGTCGGCGGTAAACGAAATTCCGAATTGCGAATCACCCAAACGTTCAATTTTTCGCTTTCAAAACCGTCTCGGAATTCTGGAATTTTGTTGACCGTGTGAGCAGTGAAGTGGCGGTGGCCGAGAACAGGCCCACCGGCCGCACTTGGCGTCACGACAGACTGGCTCAATGGCCGCCGAAGGGATACGGATGTCTTTTCCCACTCCAATTGAGCGATCGCTCAGGTCGAAAAGCCCCAGCGGTGCGCGTCACCGACGTCGCACCGCCGTCGAGGCGGACTTGCACGCGATCGGGCGGCGGGGCGGTGGAAACACGCACGCCAGCGCCGCGGTGCCGCGATGCACGTGAGCGTCTCTAGTCTCGGCATCACGCGGCGGGCTGCCGATTTGAAATCCGGTAGGGAATTCCGCTCATAAAGTTGTTTTTCGAGCACGCTGTGCCGCCAGGCGTGGCGCCGCCCCCGCGTGACGTCGCCGCCCGCGGCGTGGCGGCATGGCGGCGTCGGCGGCGTCCCCCAGGGCCTCGGGCGCCCCCGCCTCCGCGGCGAGGTGGCGTCACGACGCGCCGCGCTGAGCAGCCATGATGGATGGGGCGCCGTGAGAGCTCAATCAAGTGCATCGGGAAGCCCAGCCGGCTCAGCCCCCGTCCCCCGCTAATGGCCCCTCGCGGTGTAGTTGCACTAGTTGCGGCCATGGGGTGGGGTGGGGCGGCCCGACGGCCAGGGCCAGGCCGGGGCTGGGAGCCGCTCAACAATGTTTGCGTCGCGCCGCGTCGCGGTTCGGGGGCGTAGGCCGGCGTAGGCACTAAGGCTGTACCGTTGCGACGCGGCCGTCGAGTCGACGCGGTGGCGACGCGGCGGTCCGGCGATGCACATTAAGTGGCCCGCAACGACCGCACTGGCATGGCGCATCGCGCATCGCGTCCAGGGAGTTACCCCGACCGCAGGCCGCAGTAAACAAGTGTGCCGGACGCGCGTCTCTGGCCGCTCCGCGTCGCACCGCGTCACTGCCTCGCGGACTCGCGGTCGGCCGCCCGGTCGAGGCAGGGCGACGGCGGCTGGGGCTTCGCGGGCTTTGCGACACCGACGCGGGCCTTTTCGACACCGCGCTGTTCCCGGAACGCTGCCCTGCGCCGACTGCGCGCCCCGGATGCAGCAGGGACCGGCAGGGACCGGGGAGGAGGGGAGGCCAAGGTCCGCGCTGTGTACTCTATGAAACACGGTGTGGCCGACGTGTGTAAATGACGCCACACGACGCCACAGCGCCAACATGCGCCTTGGCCCTCGGGCCCCGGTGGGCCCCGGCTCGGTCCAGGCATCCGCCACCGCGCGGGGTGTGAACAGCGCGAAGCAGTGCGAAGCGTCCCGAACGAGGAACTACGCCGAGAGCACGATGATGATGATGGTCCGCGATAAAGACATAAACAGAACACGCGAACACGCGGCCGGACTACACGGCGCAACGCGGCGCAACGCACCGGGCGCGCGCATCCGAGTGTGACAGCGGGTCCGCCAATGTCACGGTCTCCACGGGGGAGTGCCGGAGCGCCCCGGGCCGCGCCGCCGTGCCGCCCACTAGTACTTCCTTGACATCCTCGTCGGGCGAACGGGAACCGCGATTCGCTGGCCACGCCGCCCGGGTCTTCTTCCTCTAATCAGCGGCACGCTGTATGAATTAGAGTCCCAAAGGCTCTAGTATGAATCAACGCGCGTACTCGCGCGTGCGGAGTGGAATGTGCCGAGCCAGCGGGGTACTTCGGTGGCAGACGCGCCACGCCACGCCGTGACACGCGCTCGCCGAGTGGAATGGAATAGAACTGCATGAAATGGCCTGCTTTGGAAAAGACATCTGCCCCGTCATCCGCGAACGTCGCGCGGCACAGCAGCAGGCAGGCCGAGGCAGGCAGACTCCGAACAGCGCTTTCGTCGCTCTGTTTGTCTCGCACGCACGGGGCTCCCCGCAGGTGCGAGAGAGACAGAGTGTTCGGAATCGGCATGCGCAGACTAGGAAACGGCGAAGGCCCGACACGCGTTTTGCATGCAAGTTCCTGTCGACTTTGTTCGGTGATGAAATAATGGTCACACCGGTTTCCGTTCACTGTTTACAATCGAGTAATTGTTTGACGGCATCTAGCCAAATCACCGATTTTCTGCGGCGAATGCCTGACCATTCTGTCGACATTTCGATGTACCTAGTTTTGAATGAGAGACATCGTGATTGCGTCAGTGAAAAAACCGGTTCGACAGTGGATAACCGAATAAACCTAACACGACTGTGAGTATCACGCACCCCACTTCCCTTGGACTGCCCCGAGTCAACCGTCAAAAACAAAAAACTAGGCAGAATACAGGATCAAACGAAGCTGCGTCTAATCTGCTTTAACATTAATACAAAACAAAAACAACAACAACAACATTGGCGAGGAGCCGCACGCGCTCACGGACACCTCGGGCACCTCGGGCGGCAATTACATTCTTATTACCCCATTGGGCTCGGCCTGGCTGCTGGCCTGGCTGGCCTGGAAGGTGCCATTGTTTTAATTCGGCCGTCGCTGGCGTCGCTGCTGGCGCTGCTGCCTCGGAGATGATAGCCCAGCGATAGCAGTGGCGTGGCGCAATCGGGCCTCTTGCCTCACCGATAATTTGGACATGGCGTTGTGCCACGAAGAAATCGGTCGTTATTTTTCGCTCCTCCTTCCCGCGATGTGGAATTTGCCGGTGGCATACTCCAGTCCCAAGTGAGCTGAAAGCGGAACCCAAACAACGCCCGCGGCGGCCCGCCTCCCGCTAGCCGCCGGGGTCATGCACCTCGTGCTACTCCTCGTTTTTTATGAGTTTGCCGCGATCCAGGTAAACTGGATCCGTCGAAGCGCAGCGCGCAGCCCGTCATGACTATTCCTCGCCAGCATGATGTATTCTTAGCTCCGGCCAGGGAACCTGTTCTGGTGGGTTTGCCTGGTTTTGCCTGGCGGCGCGCCGCTGCAATGCGGCGTCGTCGCCAGCGCGCTCGCGGGGCGGCACCCCGGCTGCCTCTCTTCCTTTTGTCTAGAAATCCAGTATGTCCAGTCACCGAGCCGGCCGTGCTGGACACAGGCTGGACGCTGGCGCGACACAGGTGTGGTGTGTGCTCCTTCCTTGTGACGTCGGCCGTCGATCGGCGTGGTGCCTTCCTAGTGCAGAGGCGCGTCGCATCGGCAGGGGCGACCGTCGTGACGTCACGAGCGGCGTCGTGGGGTGGCGCCGCAATGCCTCAAGGCCGCGGGGACGCTGCGTCTGCTGGCGGTGGCCCTGGAGCCGCTGCCGCTGCCAGGGCGCTAGGCGCGCTTGTGCGCCCAGCTCGCTGCCGTTCGACAGGCCTGCAGCCTGCACTGCCCAGGGCGCCCAGCCCCCATTGTTCCACGGTCGTAACGAAGAAACAGACGAGGGCCACTGTCCACCGCTGTACGTACTGGGACATGTGGCGGCTGTGACGGCGCCAGGAAAGCGGTGCCAGCGGTTTGTATTCGGCCGCAGTCAAGACACCCGTCTGGGACGCCGACTGGTCATCACGCGCCATCGCCAAGGCGCTGCCGCGCAAAGAGTGGGCGGTGCTCGGAGTGAATGCCCGTCAGTAATCGCTACCCCCCGCGGGCAAGTGTGCACGCTGCATGCCGCGGTGCCTCGCGCGTTGCTTAAACCGACATATACGCACACCCAGAGGCACCTGGAGCCACCCAGAGGCACCCAGGGGCACCCAGAAGCACCCAGAAGCACTCAGAGGCACCCAGAAGCACCCAGAGGCACCCAGAGGCACCCAGAGGCACCCAGAGGCACCCAGAGGCACCCAGAGGCACCCAGAGGCACTCAGAGGCACCCAGAGGCACTCAGAGACACTCAGACGCACCCAGAAGCACCTAGCACCTAGAAGCACTCAGAGGCACCCAGAGGCACCCAGAGGCACCCAGGGCCACCCAGAAGCACCCACAAGCACTCAGAGGCACCCAGAGGCCCTCACAGGCACCCAGAAGCACCCTCTCTTCTGAAGGATTGCGGAACTGAACCGTCGTAATAAACGAGGCTACCGAATTGGCCGCAGGGCTGGTACGTGTGGATGCAGGCTGGTGGCTGTGCGGCGGGACGAGGCAGGACGGTCGGCCGGGCCCCTGCCTTCGACTCGCCTTTGGCTTGTTTTCGGCTCGCCTTTGGCTTGCCATTGCCTCGCCGTTGGCTTGTCCGGCTCGAGGAAGTTAAAAGGATGGCGATGGTGAATCAGGTTTGCAAGGTCAATCGGGTGCCTCGCCCCTGAGCCCGGTGTGGGCTGGGGACCCTGAGGACCTGAGGTTGGTCCTGCTGGGTCCTGGGGGCCTCGCAGAACCTGCTACTGCGCGCGCTGCGGCAGCCAGGCGGCCAGGCAGCCTGGCAGCCCCCCGCCGCGTCCTTCCTCTAACCACACCGACCGCCTCAGCGTTTATTCTGTTAATTTGCCAGCGGCAGTCCGAACTGCAGCTCGTAATTCACTGCTGGACGTTTTCAGCGCAGTGTAGCACGGGGCGAAAACCTCCGTCTGCGAATCCGAGAATCCGAGGCAGTGTCCCGGATCCTTATCTCTCGGTCCCTACGGTGGCCGCAAAGGCCGCAAAGGCCGCGGCGCCAAGACACTGGCGGACACTGGACATTAGTCAGGCGTCCCGGCGCTATGCAGTGCGTCGCACGCCGCGCACTCCGCCTTGCGAGTCCCCGAGAATGAGCTTGTCCGCAGACCGTGCGGCG